CCTTTGATAATGTGCAGTCAGGAGACAAAAAAAGCATTCACTGCAACAGTAAAACTAATTCATAAAGCTGAGAGACAATAGGAAAGCATTATGGATATTTAAAAAAATTGTAATTTCTCGTAGATCAACTTGATCACTAACGTAAACAGTTCAAATGCAGACCAGGAGAAGGTAGGGGAAGGGGAGAGACCCAAACGGCTGCGCTGCCACCTTAGCTGACCTTCGACAAGTTTGAGTAAAGCAAGAATTTAGAGTTCAGCACAAAATCAATGTGCAGTTTGTCACTGGAGGGCTGAACCTTGGGCTTTATTCTGGATACTGAGTTAGGCTGGATTTCTCTTTGGAAACTAGGAAATTATGGTGTTGTTTGTTTGTTTGTTTGTTTTTATTTTCTATTTTGACATAAGAAAACAGTTAATAAATGCTCCTGAGGGCATACAGTTTTGGGGGGGCATTTTCTCTCCATCACCTACCAGAGTTTAGCTCAAGGTCATCTCACTTTGGTGCATTACACTGAACTCTGGAGGAGGCAGAGGGCTGGAGGAAGGGGATAAAAGGACTTCCGAGATGGCTCTGCCGGTGCGGTCAGCCAAGCGACGGCGCTGCCACGATAAGGGTGACGCTGGACGGTTGCCACAGCCTCCTTCTAACGTAGCATGAAACCTTTTGCTTGGGGATTGCTCCTGCCTCGGTGCTGGAGTAGGGCTGGCTGTCAGCCTTGGTGTTGAGCCGGTTTGGTGCCATGAGGAATTAGTAACCTGGGGGGAGTGAGAAGGGGTGGTTTTGCCTTCCGTTATCTCAGCGGCGAACTCTGGGCAGGATTATTTTCCTGTTTTTCTGCCACGATTTGGATGCACTGCTATGGCAGAGAGGGAGGGAGTGTTTCTGATACCAGGTTACAGATAAGATAAAGTCTGTCACTGTCCTGGCATCCAGCATTTGCCGCCTGGGGTGGAAAATTTGAGGAAAGGAGTACATTTGGACAAGGTGTAGCATTAAGAGACAAACTTGGCTGCTTTCCATCCGTATCTACTGGAGACTTTACTCACCGTCTGTAGTCAAAGGTGATTAAAAAAAAAAAAGTCTTATTGGTTTGTTTTTTTGCTAAAAATGCTCTCAGCTACATTCGAAAAGGGGCTTTTATTAAGACTGTTGCTTGCTAAATACCATTCATAAAACAGTGACTAGAAAATATGATGGAAACTTACATTTTTCCCTCTGTCACTTTGATTTCTTTGTTACTGCTAAAACGACTGCTCTGACTCATATTTTGCATAGTTATTTTTACCTTTTCAAATGTTCCTTAACTGTTCATATTACCCTGGGCAAATCCCCCAGGGATAATTTTCATTTGCATGCAGACTTTGATGGTGTTATTAAGCAATCACTTTCTGTACTAAGTCATTATTAAAAGTAATACCACAGAGCCTCAAAAACACATTAATGGTGCCAAACAATCCGCATTTCAGCGCTAGATTTATGGAAGGGAAAAAGCACAAGGTCTCATATCATTCGGTGGATGCTACTCTGTAGTGCTGTAGCAGCAGCAGGCTTGATCAGAAAATATCAGAGCCAAATTCAGAGCCCTTATCTGTTGTCAGCCTTATGCCCCCTTTTTTTTTTTAATTTTTCTTTTTCAACCTGATGGCTTCCTGCTTGTTTTTCCCCTTGGATTTGCCCTTTTCCTCTGGCCTTGGCAAGAAAGCCCGTCTGCAGTCTTCCAGTATACACAAGCTGGGCTGGTTCTGGGAAGGAGGGTCAGCCTTCCCATCTGTAATCACTGTTTTATGGCTTTCACTTGAGGTGTTAATGCAGATCAAATGGAAAACACTCCAACATGAGCGTTACAGCTTCTCGTGCTGCCCTGCATAAGGTCCCAATCGTTAATTCTGATTATAAGACCTAAAGGTAATTCTATTTGCTCTCCTAATGCATTGCAGCTCTCCCGGTGGTCCGGCGTCTCTTTTCTCCAATTCCCATCTTGATCAATTGTTTGCAAATAATTAAGCTTTTAAGAGATAATGGTAGGAGCTAATGTACACAACAAAGTAAAGGTCTCAAGTCACTGTTTATTGAACAGTTTGCTTTGATATCCCAAAGTGATCCAGAGCGATAGGTGGACTTGGCAACTGGAGTCAGTGTGGTGTTTTTAGACATGCTTCCATATATATATTTATATATTTCATAGAATCATGAAATATCTCGACTTGGAAGGGACCCATAAGGATCAAATCTAACTTTTTGCTCCTCACAGGGCTATGTTAAACAAAACCATTTGACTAATATATATATATATATATATATTTGTATACATACTCATGAAAATATAATTTGCCTATATACACACAAATATGTATACCCATATCTATGTGCATGTGTCTTTATCCCTTTAAACAACTATTAGAAAGCTTTCGGAAGGCACTTGTCGCTCTTGCACAGGCAGAATAAGGGCCAACAGCAACAGTTTCGATTGAATTTCCTATTTCTTCATAAAATGGCAGTTCTCAGGGTTTCCCCCTTTCTCTCTGTTGCAATGTGATGTCTGCCTTTGCCTGTAGCACAGGCCTTCTGAGCCCTGTGGGTGGGAATGCAACAAGACTTTGAATGTTTTTATAGCAACCTAGCCTGTGGCACGCTGATTCTTTGTCAAGTCATTTTTATTATTTTATTTATTTTATTTTTAGCCTACAAAGGAACAACTCGTACGATCCACAGAAAGCTTATATAATAAGGATGCCTAGTGTTTAAGATTACTTTAAACCACACCGAATGATAGTTAAAAAGCCTGCTGCATTGTGAGCCTTCAGCTGAGAGGGATTAGCTATGTGAAATCCCAGGCTGTCATGTGATTATGGCAATTACAGATTTATCATGAAATTAAAAGTTTATGCTGTACTAGGATACGAAGAAAAAAAAAAATCAGATGACCTTAAACATACCGCAGTTTGAGGAATTTGGGGGGTTGGGACTTTTAAAGCAATTATTTTTACAGTGACTGTATTATTCTGATGGCTAATTTTATCCAGTCTTGTCTATTTGGAAAAAAGTCCAGAACAATTGAAAATTGCTTAATGGAGACAGACTTCTCAATTCCAATAGCTAGAGGCTGTCTAGTAATTATTGCTTGCTGCATGAAATTAGACACAGTTTGTTCAATTACTTAAAATTAGATCACAAGTAAGGTGGCAAAGCAAAATAAGAAAAAAAAAAAGAATAATTCTGTCCTCACTTGATAGCAAAGTATTGAAATGGGAAGTAAGCTGTGAAGATGAAAATGTTACAAATCATCTCCATAGGGTTTGTTGTTTTTTTTTTCCTTTTGAAGGGAAGCAAGTGTTGTATTCAGATAGATGGGCATAAGTCAAGTTTGACTGTTTGTTGTGGGTGAATGTGTATAGGAAGCAAACAATAAAATGCATGCCATGTTTTTGCATGTGTAAAATGCAAATAACCCATGAAAAAGAAGTAAAATCCCCCTTCCCTCTATTTTCCACTTTGTAATTCTGAAGTTTTTTCATGTACACGTGGAAAATAAAGGGGGTGGTTTACAGGTGTGCAGGTTACTTGTGGGCTTCCTGTCAAGAAAACAGTATTTTAAAAAGAATTGAAAATTCCCCAATGTTTTTGGGTGACAAAAAATTAAAACTTCTCTTATGGAGCTGATGGCCACAGTGGTGGCCTTTGAAATGGGCATATTGAGTTAGGGGAAGTTGCTGGAGTTAAGACAAAAATTCCTGTTTGGTAACATGAGGTGATATAGGCACGTAACATTACCATGAGATGTCAGACTGTGCTGTTTACAAGAATATATAAAATCTGCTAAATAGTTACGATACCAATAAGATTGTGAAATTTTATGAGGTTTTAAATTCTTATGCTTTACAAGGTTTCAGTTTACATCTCATGTAATATTACACTGAAGAATACATCCACAGAATACGGGAATGTTTTTGGGGAAAAAAAGGGGATGATTGTGTAACAGCAAATACTTTGTGACAATCAATTGCTAAATAGTGTTGGGATAGGTCTAAGCAGTTATATCAAATTATCTTTATTGAAATGCTATTAAGCACCTTGCAGCAAACCACGTCTAAATCTAATGTGTGGGCATCCAGGTTAGGAGCTGAACCAGATGCTCAAAACAGGACTTTTCCTTGAAATTGTTACATTTGCAATATATGGCCACTTCCTTTTGGGACAGTGATATTTTTACATAGAGGGAAAGGACAGAAACGATATTTCTACATTTCAAACTTTGCTGTTGATTTATTAAGCAATCTGTATTCATGCAGAAGCGAATTTTCTGAGAAAGCAAATCAAGTTCTCACAAGAAACTTAATTTATGATTGAATTTTAACATTATCTTCAATTAAAGCAGTATTTATTTTCTGTCTCTTAGGATTAGTGCAGCACAGCTATGCTAATGTCAGGCAAAAATGTGCTGATTGTTGACCTTCTGTTGGCCTGTGTTCAAAACCCGGGCGTTTGTTTATGTTCAGGATGCTGATCTTATTTGCAAATGATTTGGGGGCACTGGCAAATTTTGCCTTCACTATCTCAGAAAACATCAGTGTATTTTAGTTTTACAGAGAAGTGCTTTATCACATTCTTTATTGTTCTGTGAAATACAGAAAAAAAACAACAAAAAAGATGATTTGACTCTAATCAGTCATTTGAGACAAGTACAAAAAACTTGCAGCTAATGCAACAAATATCCTTCTCAAGTATCAAGGTACTGTCAGTATCCTAAGCAGTTATTTCTCCACTTCACTAATCTTTATAATTGGCTTGTCTTTTACTGCCATTAATTAAGTGATGTACTAGCCCATTAATAATTATAAAAGAGTGACACACCTCAGCATTTTCACCTTTCAGTAATAGATGTCACGCTTCTATTTTGTTTTGGTTTTATTTTTTTGCATTTTTTTAATTTAAAATAAAAAGTAGGCAAAAAAAAGCGCATTGTTTTAAATGTATATATTTATTTTGGTGTCTTATAGCACCCTTACCCTTCAGAAGAACAGAAAAAGCAGTTGGCACAAGACACAGGGCTCACTATACTTCAAGTGAACAATTGGTAAGTAATTTTCCTTAGTGTTTCTGTATGGCCCCTGGCACCCTCTGGCTTTGTGGTTTTGGGGACACACCCTACCCTTGTTGTTCCCCTCCCCAACAGTTTATTGATGCAAAAGGGATATAGCCAAGTGAGTGCTTTCAGGTATAGGAACTAGGAGGTTTGCTACTGTATTTTAATTTTCCCATCGCTTGGGCAGATTTCAGTGTTTCAGATTTCAAATTTTCAGTGATTCGGATTTCAGACTGCCATTTGGGTGCCAGCCCTCCTTCTGGCTGAGGATGTGTGTTCTTCAGTAGGAAGGCACATCTGTTTGCAGAACATTGGTCTTGGAAGAGGTTTAGATGTTGAGTGAAAGAAAAGGGGCAGTTGGTCCCATTTCTGCCAAGTGTGTTGTTATTTGGGGGGGGCTGTCACGCTATTTTATTGTTGTTGTTGGAGGGGTTTTTTTTGACTGACATCCTCATGTCTCTTTATGGGTTTGCTTTAAAGATCTGTTTTTTGAAAGCTTGAGTAAACTTTGAGGACAATCTGGTTCTTTGCTGCTGAAGTACAGTGTGGAGCAATTTCATTTATTTGTTCTAGCTAAGGGTTGGTGGAGCCCCTGATCTGTTACAGTAGAGATATGTTTGAAGGAAATCAGGATTTATGCTGTTTCTGCAGTGGATTTTGGGTCACTAAGTGTCCAGGGTGTGGTGAAGGCAACCAGTGAAAATTACTTGTGATTTAAGTGTCATACAACAGCAAACCTTTTTTAAAAAAAGTTTGATTTATCACCCTTTGATACTGCATCAAAATGTAGGTTCCTCCCACTATCCCAGAACAAGTGTCATATTTGAAGTGTATTGCAATCTAATACCTTGTAAAACTAAGTGTATCTAATTAATTGTCCTAATATTTTTAGATTAGTGTTTATGATGGGAAACCTTATCCTCTTTGAAGTAATACCCAGAAAATGGCCAAGGCAAACAGCAAGCCTGCTGGGGAAAAGGGAGGGAGGAATGCCAGTTTGCAGACAAAAGTTGGGGTTTTTTTTTCCATTCAATAAGTGTCAGAGATTAATATTACTGAAGCTCTGATTACATGGCCTAATCCATTTTAGTGAATAAATTTGGTCTTGATGTCCATTGCACCTACATTAACAAACCCTCCTCTCTTAGAGAGAGTAGGAGCCTATGGGAGAGATTTCAGATATATTAAACCCCATTACAGAAAATGTAATTTCTGTCAATATAATCCCATGTATTCTTCAATTTAGTACTTTGGAGATAACAAGCTACTTACAATATATTTGCCTTTGGAGGATTAATTTACAAAGTGCACTATCTGGGAGACGCAGGCGGGCTCACATAAGCATAGCTTGTAAGGGTTATCAATTTCTGTGACCCCACAGCAGCCCTGGGAGATCAATTTTTTGAAGCCCTTTAAGATGCTGAATAAAGGAAAATACCAAATACTTAGTGGATATGAAGTATGCTTCCCAGATACTTTAAAAAGGGGGAATAAAAGGCACTAAACATAAAATTTATGTGTTATAAGGTAGCGTAACCTACAGCATTTTGGCTTGGCCAGAAAAAATTAGTGTTTGCTTCAGCTTTACATCCTCCAACCTTCCTCTGGGCATTACCCTAATTTATATGGTTGTCCTTCAGTTTAACAATGGGCACTTTGGCCCACTGAGAAGTTGTGTATATTCGTCAGGGTCTTATTTAACGATGGGGTGGAGTTAAGGGTGTGCTGCTTCTGCGGGGTGTAGGATTCGGTGTGTGCAAAGTGTGTCAGTTTAGGATGGTCCATCAAAGAAAGTTTTCAAGATGATGAACATGGGATGCCTTGAACTAAAGCTGTTTGAATTTCTGCCGAGTGACTTTCCAGGGTGTTTTTTAGTACTCATCTCACCTCAAATATGAGGAGTTTTTACTTTGGCTTTGTGTCAGGTGTGTTCTTATAAGTTCCTTATGTGCCAGTTAAAAAAAAAAAAAAAAGGAGGTCAAATACATTATAACTGAATTCTTGTGGATGTAGGGCAGGCTTCCTCTGCTTGAGCTAGTTCAGTAATTCTGCTGTAGTGTTACAATTGCATAAATTATTGAGACAATTCCCCTTCTCTCCCCAGCGGAACAAGGATTCAACACTATAGAGGCAGTCAGGGTTTCTTAAATCACAGGTGGTGGGCAAAGATGCCAAAATATGGCAATTCAGTCCCTGCTTTTTGTAATGAATGCTAAGGAACAAGGAGGCTGTGAAGCTGTTGCTGAAAGCACAGGTTGCATGGGAAATACCCATGACCAATGAGGTACTCACCCCCTCCCAAATCCTGGAGGGTATGGGGCAACCCTCTCCAGGCCTTTGTTGAGTCTCTTTTCTTCCAAGGCAATGTGCAGAAGAAACTCTTCTTGCCTAAATAATTTGCTGCAGGGAAAAACTAACATATCATTTCTGGTTAGTTTTGCCTTTCTTCAGCAGGCTCATAAGTCATTCAGCCACAACTCGCAAAAAAATTTTTGCTTTCCTTCTTAGATTCTTCCAAACTTGTTAACACACATGTACGTTTTTGTATTAATGATGAGTCATTGTAAATCACTGTTGCAGAGATTAAATAAAATGCTGAAGGGCAGGCTGGGTGCAGATCAGTCATAAATTATTGGCAGCAACACAGCGTGTGGGAATACATGAAATGTGCATGAAAAACATAAACTCATGTCTGGTAGCATGGTCGTTAGCCCAGACTGGGAATGCTGGATTTTCTGGCTGGAATTAGAAGTTTGCCACAGAGCAATCAGTGAAGAGAGCATTTGTTTTCTGCAGATTGAAAGCATTTGAACAATTTTTTTTTTTTGTCATATCTTGAATGCCTTTACAGTATGTGCTGGTTGCATACTTCAGTTCTGTGCCGTAACGAAAAAAAAATGGTGCTTTTCACACATGGGCTGCCCGGTGTTGGGGCTCCCCAGGCTGATGTATATAAATCCTGCTAATGGTGGAAGAGTCACAGGAATGGGGTGATGATGTGAGACGTGCCAGAAAATGTATCCGCAGTAGGGCACATGTCTTTAAAAATACCACAGTCCCTTTACCATGACCCTTTCCCTTGAGTTGTTTTATTTTTTTTAAAGTAATTAAATAATCCACATGGAGGACTTTCCCCCCATCTTCCCCCATGACAGCTTTACTTGCGAATCACCAGCATTACCTTTTAGGACAATCTTTTTGCCTCAGTTGGATGTTTCTATTATGGGAAGAGGGAGCCTTTACCCTGTTGCAAAATAAAAATAAATCTATGCCATTCAGGTCTCTGTTGTGTTGGTTGTTTAACCCCACAGCAGTTTAGGGTTCGAAGCCTGGTAGCATGAACTAGAAGGGGCACTTGTATGGTCTTGACAGCCTATATGGATGTGGTAGAGACTTGACCAAGTACAGGTTAATAAGGTGCTTTTCCCGGGTGATAAAAACTGTGATTGAAATATCCACGAGGTGTGAGCCAATCACTTCTTGCCTCAACTGAGAGCCAGCCAGGCTATATTGAACAATCTATAGGATTTTCTTGCTTACTACATCTCCCCTGAATCCCTTCCCATTAAGAACTAATGGTAAATAATTACTAGTAGTAGTCTACAAGGAAGAGAGAGCAGTTCTCATCAGAGGCTGCACTAGGTGTCAGATGCTTGTTTATGTTTTAGAAAAGACTTGGTACACACAGATAAATGTTTGTATATTTGTGCCTATATAACCTTTCTATATGTGCATGCCTATATGTGACTGTCTCTCCATTTAGAGTTATGTACAACTGCATTGAAATGATCTTAAAAAAAAAAAATTAAGTTTGAAAATTCAAATTCAAATTCAGCCTTTATTAGATGTTTCCATTCTGCTTTTTTCAAAACACCCTTGTGCTATCTAGGGCACAGCCCAGACAATGATGGACCAGCTAGTCAATATTTTATCTTGCCCTCATTCTTCCGTGCTTCGTTTGTTGAGCTGTATTCAAACCGAGCTTGAAGATGGAATTAATAATTACTGCTGGGCTTTCCTATGGCACTTACTGCTGTAATACCCAAGTAATACCCTGACCTCCACATGCTTACATATGCATACAAGGTGGTGGGTCTGCATGGTATTCTTACAGTTCCCCTAAAAAGAGAAATAATAGCATTGTCCCAGTTCACAGGGGAAGAAGTGAGGCTCGAGGAGCTCCAGGTCCAGCACGGTCACAGGTTCTGGGTGGGTCTGGGACTGTGAGGTGACTCAAAATGACAGCAAGTTATTCACATTTAAGGTCCAATGATCATTGAAACTTCATGTTTCATGGAAACTCCCTAGTTTTGAGTGCTTTGGCATCTTATATTGCCAACCTGCAGTGTTGGGTATGGAGGAGAGATATGAGAAGTCAGCAACTGCTGGCAAAACGTTTGGGTTCAGTGATTTTCTCAGTACCTGTTGAGCAGTCCAAGGAAGCAGCAGAGCTGAATCCTCTTCTCCAGTGCACCATTTGGCTGCATTAACCAGGACTGTTTTGCTTTTTTTGCTGCCTTATTCGTTCAACTTTGTCAAAGTTTATTTCCCGTAGAAATCAAATTTTTTTATGTTATAATGCCCTGGCCCGTTCTTATAACAGACATGATCATCATTGGGGTGGTTGAGGCATTGAACCCTATCGAAACTGGTAGCACGAGCTCATAACTGAACTGTTTGCATAGAAATACACTAAAGACTAGGGTGTAAACAGCTTTAATAATATGGCTTCCTAACTCTTGAGTTCTTGATTTCATGTCCATGGCTTCTTTAAATGTCAATTTTATGTGTAATTTCCTAGGCTTGCAAAAAACCCAAAATGAACCACAACCAAACATATTGGAAAAAATTATCAGATAATGTAAGTTTTGCTAATGTCATTCTTGGGGGTAGATGAAGTTAATTTTACTCAACCTTTGTAAGGAAGAAATTTTAAAAGGGCTCCAAGACCAGCCTAAAGATGAGTTTGAAAAATCAGAGATGGGCTTGGG